TAGTTGTCCAGATCATTTCTTTCTATTTTTAGTAGAGATGGGGTCTCGCTATGTTGCCCAGGCTGGTCTCGAACTCCTGACCTCGAGCGATCCTCCCGCCTCCTTAAGATTTTATTAGTTCACAAAAGGAACCGTCTGACGCTGCAACCAGCTCCAGCATCTTTGCACACCGGGTCTGTGTCAGGCATTTGCTCAATGGACAAACCCCGTCCTCTCTCGGGAAACCTCGGTTTCCTCACCTGTGAAATGACAGCGCTGGGCCACATCCGTGATTCTTGAACTGTTCTTTAGCAGCAAAAAAAAAAAGGAAAAAAAATGGAACAGCTGTGATGAAGAAGGGAAGCATGGAACTAGCATTCTACACTCTCGGTGTTCCCCTTCGCCACCCATACTGGCCGTGAAAGGATTCTACCATTTCCGGGAATGTGACTTGAACAAAACCACTAGACCAATTAAGTGTTCCAGGGGATTCCTTTGAGCTCTAAAATTCCTCTTCCCACCTTCCCATTTTGTGGCTGGCAGGAAATCTTTCTCTTTGCTCCGTGTCAAAAGACCCAAAGATTGGGGCGTAAAAGAATGAATGTAAAAAATGTCTTTTCCCCTAATGGGACGATACACAAAAATGTCCCATAGAGCCCCACACTTTGACTACTAGTTGGGGGAAAGGTTTTCCCCTTCGTACAGTGAAAGGAATTGCTCCTTATCTAAGAGTAATGATTAGGAGAAAGTCAATGAGAGGCTAAGCAACTTCGTAGGCTGTCCTAGGGGTCGTGTCCCTAGGGTTGATGCCACCAGTAACGACCTCAGTACACCAAGGCTTGGCCTCTTCTCTTTTGGGCTGTGAAAATGCGAGAGGATTTCATTCACAGAAACCATCACCAAGTCTGATAAAAGCCAGTGTGTAGACCAGGCCCGGTGGCTCACGCCTGTGATCCCAGCACTCTGGGAGGCCGAGGCGGGAGGATCGCTCGAGGTCAGGAGTTCGAGACCAGCCTGGGCAACATAGCAAGACCCCATCTCTACTATAAATAGAAATAAATTAGCTGCACAACTAAAAACGTATAGAAAAAAATCAGCCAGGCATTGTGACGCGTGCCTGTAGTCCCAGCTACTCCTGTGGTCCCAGCTACTCCTATAGTCCCAGCTACTCCTGTCGTCCCAGCTACTCCT